TCTCAAAAAAAAAAAAAAAGTTGACAGGTGAGATAGGAGTCTGGGAACCCAGCGGCAGCCGTCTGAGGGACACCCTGGTTATATGGGATGATGATAAACAGGTCTAACTGTGGGTGACCGAATGGAATGCATAATCTGCCAGTATCTTTTTTTCATTCATTCATTCATTCATTCATTCATTCATTCATTCAATTTTTGAGATGGAGTTTCACTCTTGTCGCCCAGGCTAGAGTGCAGTGGTACGATCTTGGCTTACTGCAACCTTTGCCTCCCAGGTTCAAGTCATTCTCCTGTCTCAGCCTCCTGAGTGGCTGGGAATTACAGGCACCAGCCAACCTACCTGGCTAATTTTTATATTTTTAGTAGAGATAGCCAACATGGTGAAACCCTGTCTCTACTAAAAACACAAAAACAATTAGCTGGACGTGGTGGTGTGTGCCTGTAAGCCCAGCTACTCGGGAGGCTGACGCAGGAGAATTGCTTAAACCCAGGAGGCGGAGGGTGCAGTGAGCCAAGATCGTGCCACTGCACTCCAGCCTGGATGACACAGTGAGATTCTGTCTCAAAAAAAAAAAAAAAATGTGTTTTTGTTTGCCTGGATTAATGAGGTAGAAGGAAAAGGTATGGGGTATTTTTGTTGGGTGCTAAAAATGTTCTGAAATTGATCATGGTAATGATTGCACAACTCTGTGAGTTGCGAAAAACCACTGGATTATATACACTTTAAATGGATGCATTGTATGGCATGTGAATTCTAACTCAGGATAGCTGTTAAAATCAATCATGAAATCCTGTACATGGAGAAAATCCAAGAGGAATTGCAGCCATACCCCAAATTCCCCTCCTCTCACCTTTATGACATCATCTTGGTTCCTGCATGTCCAAACTCTCTGAACACAAATACAAATGCTACCCCCACTTCACAGCTCAGTGCATCAAAGCCTGTGTTCCCATCTGAGAGTGAAGGGTGGTGACTTTTTACCTGGGTTTGCTTGATCAGCTGATGGAGTTCTGTAAGAAGTTCTGCAATTCGGGAATCGGCAGACACAAGGGCCATTGTCTACAGGGGTGCCTGGTGGGGGAGTGACAACAGAAGAGAATTCTGTTAGTGGCTGCTGTGGGCTGAACTGTGCCCTTTCAAAAGATACATTCGGCCGGGAGGCTCACACCTGTAATCCCAGAACTTTGGGAGGCCAAGGCGGGCAGACTGCTTGGGGCCAGGAGTTCAAGACTACCCTGGGCAACATAGTGAGACCCCGTCTTTACCAAAAAAAATTAAAAACGTAGCCCAGCAAGGTGGCACACATCTGTAGTCCCAGCTATCTGAGAAGCTGAGGTGAGTGGATCACTAGGGCCTAGGAGGTCGAGGCTGCAGTGAGCTATTGCACTCCAGCCTACATGACAGAGTGACACCCTATTTCTTTAAACAATAATAATAATAAGATACACTGTAGTCCTAACCGAGGTACCTGGAATGTAGCCTTGCTGGGAACTAGGATCTTTACAGAAGTATTTAAGATGTCACTAAGATGAGGTCATAGTAGAATAGGGTGTGCCCTTAATCCAGACACACAGCCAGGCGGGGACAGAGGCAGAGATGGGACTTGGACTGCTGCAAGCCAAGGGATCCCAAGTACTGCCGGCATCCACCTAACCAGCTGGGAGAGTCACATGCCTGTAATCCCAGCACTTTGGGAGGCCAAGGCGGGCGGATCACAAGGTCAAGAGATCGAGACCATCCTGGCCAACATGGTGAAACCCCGTCTCTACTAAAAATACAAAAATTAGCGAGGCGTGGTGGCGCGTAGTCCCAGCTACTCAGGAGGCTGAGGCTGAGGAGAATTGCTTGAACCCGGGAGGTGGAGGTTGCAGTGAGCCGAGACCATGCATTGCACTCCAGCCTGGCACCTGGTGACAGAGCGAGACTGTCTCAAAAAA